CCAAAGTTGAAAATTGCTTTTGCTGATGCGGACGTTCCTGTGCAGACAATTTTTTATGGTTGCCACAAGGAGATGCCTCTTTTCACATTAATCAAGTCCTTTTCCTCATTATGAGCAGGGTATTGTGGTTTTCCAATGGTTGGGTTTCCCTGCTACTCCACCCGTTTTTAGGTCATCCCTTTACCATTTTTAATCTTTGCTTTGCTGGCGGGTTTTCTCTCCTTTTTTTCTCGCTTATGCGTTGCTTTCCCTTTGACTCTGCGCTTTATGCTTAATTGCTTCTTTGGCTCTCAGTCTCCCCCACTTTGTTCTCTTTTATATTTGAATAAGAAGGCAACAGGAACAGCAACAACAGGAAACACTTTTAAATCGAATATAAGGTAGCTCCTAGCCGCAGGTAATCCCCTAACAGAGAAGGAGGGATTTCGAAGAAGAGCTTTCTTGCTGTCGGCATGAAACCGCAAAGAGCAATTCGTTGGCCATAAATTTCCAAGCGGATTTAATTGCCAACAAAGCCTTGGTGAAAAAAGAAACTAGAGTGCACTCCCTTGTCTTGTCTGAAAAAGACCGAAATATACATATAAAACTCATTAGTCTCGAGAATATGCATATGCATGTAAAGTATAAGGATAAAAGTTAATCTGTTCATTGCCGAAGTTGTAGGGCTCCGAGAGCAGCTAAATATATTTCACGGTTGAAAAATTATCAATTCGCGGCAGTGAACTTTTATTTGCCTTACCCACATGCGAAAATGCCTCTTTTGCTAGAAATTTCGGTCTATTTTAATTGATTAACTTTGAAAAATTATAATTAAACTGTCAGTCGCATCGGAGTGCAGATACCGGCTCTATTCTACCTCTCCTCTCTCGTTCCGAACTGTCACTCGCTGTACGAGAATGGGTTGAGATATTTTCTCCTTTTTAAATCTTAAATTCCTCTTAGTCGGGAGACATGGCGGCATACACGGACAGAGGGACTCCTTCTGGGCTACACTTAATTAAAAGAGCATCCGGCCAAAGCAGCAGAAAAAATTCCTCATCTACCCACTGGGCCTCCGCCTCGAACCTTTACTTTGCCTCTCCTGCTCTCCTGCCTGGTGTGAGTAAGCGAATTCATTTCCCGCTTTCGGCCGTTGATTGATATGCCAATGAAGCGAATGCCGTTCTCCAAGCCGGAGAGCTGCAAGCCCAGACCTAGACACAGACACAGACACAGACCTCAGAGCTCCCAAACAAGACCAAAGAAGAAATGTTAAAAAAATCTAGTTCGTTAGTTCTTATGCAAAGCGGAACAATAGCATACATTGCGGTCCAGTCGGCGACGCAAAATCAACAAAAATGCAGATGGGGCCAGATAAATTGCCAAAGTGAAGCGCCAAGCACCCCAATTCCAATCGCTTTTAGTTCTCTTCGCTTCGTCTCGGTGTAGGTCTGGACTGGCCAACAATTTGGATTATTTTTTTATGGGCCCTCCGACAAACCAAAAAAAAACAAAAAAAAAATGGCAAGGAGGCGAGGTGTGGGTGTGTAGCACTAAAATCAAAGGCCTTTTGGCTTTCGATTCTTTTGCGGTTTTAGATGCGGATGTATGTATGCTCTGCAGCTGAAGGTGACGCAAATTGGTGTCATTCATAGCTGTTCAATGGAAGGAAAATTATGCAATTAAAAACATTAGTATGGAAAACATACTCTCAAAAGTATCATGAGAGAAATATTCTTGGAAAATATTTTTTCAAAGTTCCCAAAATTATTCCACAGTCCTTAAGTTTCTACAATTTTTGTAATGCTTAAATAGGTTAAAAGTATAAGGTACACTACCGCGAATCAGTGATTAACACTAAAATGAATATTCTGAACATTTCATAGAGCGATTTCGCCAGGTAAATTTAATTTTTTATAAACATTAATTAATTCTGTTGCTGTAAGTTCAATCCACAGCTTTCCTTTGCTCCAATCAGAGACCTTTCTCCTTAGGGTCCACTTTCAGGTCGAATGCAGAGCATTTCTCAGCCGTTGAATTTCTCAGCCGCCAGAGCCTGTCTTTTTTTTGGACGCAACATGAGAGGGCGTTCTTGATTAATTGCAGAGTGTGGTTAAATTCTTTTTTGTGCTGATTTCGGCAGTTTTTCTGCGGTTAGCTCCGATTCTTCCCCCAGCCTGTACTTTCGTGGAGTACGGACACGTAAGCAAAAATATTTTACAGCTGGACAGCGCGGAAACACAATGCTCAGGCCTCGGACCAAAGAAGAGTAGGATCAAGAGGAGGAGGAGGAGGAGGAACGACACCGCGAAATTGCCGGAATAAAAGTGTCTATTGCCGGTGGTCTGATCATCCTGCTATACATATATCTGTTCTGGCTACAACTCCTGCTCCGGCTCTTTTTTCTCCAGTTGAGAATTAGCAAAAGCCCGGGACCATTTATCAATTGGATGCAGCTTTGGGGCACTGCACCGTCCCATTCCCATTCCCAGTAGTAGAATCTTAAAGTATGCACTATATTATTTACTGCATACATTTCGTTAGTTGCTTGGTTGGTTGGTTGGTAGGGCGGATACATATGATACTCATAGTGGAAAGTAGGATAGGAGGAGGGAGTGGTTCAGTTGTGGCGATTTCCGCCAGGAATTTCTTTCGCAGACACTTCCTGGTGTAAGGATTTCTGGCCGACTCCTGGCATGTGTGCAAAGTTACTGCCCACATCCTGTCTCCTGTCTCGCCTCGCTGCAGATATTTTTCATTTTCGAAAAAATTTCCGTTATGATTTCCTCTCCGCCGATGTGCCGCCATGCACCCACACAATTCGGAGCAGTTTTCCGTGCTCGTTTCTCTTTTTCTCTGTGCAAAATTTGAATACGACAAAGCAGCGCATAAGATTCAGATAAAGCCAAACTGCCAGTTGCCATGAAGTTGAGCGCTACTCCAGCCCCAGCTCCAGTTGCCGCTCCAGTCCTTCCGCCCGTTCGCCCTTCTACTTATTTGACTTTTCATTTTTATGCTAAACTGTTTCCTCTCTGCGGACAGGCCGCATTTCACTTGCACAAAAAACTTAGCCCCATCCGAACCATGTTCTGAAGCGGAAAACGGAAGTTATATCGTCCGAGCGCCGAGTAACAGCAGATTGCATGCGGGAGGCGACACCCGATCCTTCAGCTGTAGGACTCCACTCATCAAAGCACTCTCGATATGTTAATTACCACTCATGGAACGGTTGTTTCAAGAGAGAACCCGGTCGAACACTCTCCTCTACTCAATGAATCAACTCTTGTGCAACAGGATACCCTCTTCCTCCTTCCTTTCTTCTCCAGCAGCGACAGCTGAACAAAAGGCTGAGTTTCCCTTGCTAAGAAAATTTTAATAAGAGCTGCTATGAAAAGTTTTTACCACACACAAACACACACACTCATTCACAGCCAGACATCTAGCTAGACAAGTGGTACAACGAGCTAGAAGTTCTATAAGAACGCAGGCAAGAAGGAAAAACTCCATAACCATCTCTATCTCAGGCTTGGGCTAAGAAAATGTAATAAATTTCTATACAAAAACGACAATAAATTTTTCTCTCTCCCACTCCCTCTCTATCGAACAGTGAGACAACTAAATGTGAAAACAAAAAGAGGGAAGCGGAGTAGGAGCATTTGATAGGCAAGCCAACCATCACCATCCAGCATATCTATCCATCTATATCTATTTTCCAGAGTTTTTACAATTGCTGCAACAATACACAAACCGTTTTGCATATTTAATAAACTTTTCTGTTCTGGGCTTTTATTTTTTGTTTGGTTTTCCATTTTTGTTTTTGTTTGTCGTTTTATGCAAAACTAAATTTCGATTATGAATTTTAGACAAGGGCCAAAGTCAGAGCCAGAAGCAGAGTCAAAGGGCAGAACAACATGTGGAGACATGGGTCATCAAGATCTCTATGTAGGTTTATTTACACTCGGGAATATCCTGCTTCGAATGATCTCCTGGGGAATGGATACGGATACCCATTCCATATTTATATATAAGTTTCCCCAAAAAGAACATTTCATATCATTAAATTGTTCATGTTATTGTGTGTGTTGCCACCACTCTGACTCCCCGTCGAGTCGTAATATTCCACACCAATTTTGACACTATTTTTACTAATTTCAATTATATAGTCTGAATGTCCAGCTAACGCGGTGTTCCTGGGACAACGGAAAATCAGAAACCTAAAACATACGTTCGTTTCACGCATTAACAAATTTACACGTGTTTACCATTTCAGGGAGATAACAATAACAAACATAAATAGTCATAAATTCGATTTAGAAAAACGAAACTTTTAATTTATTGACTGTGAAAATTTGCAAACATTTCGCTTACCATTTCGCTTTGTTTGCCAGCCAATTGCCACCCAACCGCCCCCTGGCTGCCTGAACACTGACCACTGACGGATAGAAAGACTTTTGCAAACATAATTTATCAAAATTACAACAAATGCCACAATGACAGAAAAACAAAAAACGACTAACAAAAACAAAATGTAGTTTTCACATTTTGCAGTGGGCCATGCGAGGGTGCGATGGAAAAGGAGGTTTTTATGCTAGAGTGCGGGCCATGCAAAGACATTAAAGCTCAAAGATAAAATTCATGTTTTATATATGGATAGTGTCAAAAATGAAAGAATAAAGTAAGAATCGTATTCGACTTTGAAGCATTCAATACTATACTATATCATATAATCATCTGATTTCGAATTAATATCCGATGATTTATGAAGAGACATATGAAAATATAGTTCGCCGTATTTGGTTATATAATCTTTAAGCCGAAGATTTATTTCGTGTTTTATACATCGGAAATTCATGGAATGATTTCTCGTACTGTGTTTGGGATGTGTCTCATCTGGCACTGCCTATGGAAATCTAGCTAATTAAACAAAAAATGCAAAAGCCACCGAAATACCCACTTTCGAAAACTAATATAAACAGCGGGGTAGATCGGGACTCCAGGCACTTACCCCTGATATGGCCTGCTTGTCATCGAAGAGCGTCGTTGTCTGTGCGGCGGATGAGGTCGGCGAGCTGGCCGCCGTGGCCGTGGAGCTGTCCGGTGTATAGTAGGTCAGGAAAGCGCAGCCTGCAAAAAATTATGGAAAGGAAAACGTGTTTCAAATTCTTATTAAATTTCAGTATTTAGGGTGCAAACTTTAGTGTAGATCTCCAACAGATCAGCTGTTGGAAAATCAAGCTGAGCTGCTTATCAACTGACGCCATCCTTGGCGTTGAATGATAAAGTTAGATGCATTGACAATTTGACGGGGGGAGACAAATTTTCCGACATAGAGGCTTTCACCAAATTTGATTTTATTTGATTTTAGATTGTACACAAACCTCAGAGAGTGAACATCGTTACCCTTTGGAGAAGTATAAAAATAGTTCAATCCTAATTGAAAATAAAAAAAAAGTTTAGAATGGCAGAAGCCACAAGTCATTTTATCGCCAGCTGACAACTGCAACTCTCTGCTTTTGGTGAAAGCGGATATATTTTTGGCGGTTCTGGATTGTCTCTGCTCCTGGAGGCTTTGGCAGTGGCTGTGCTCAGGGCGCAGGATCACTACAAAAGCAACATCAGGCTGCTCCGGGTGGATTTGGAGCCAAGCCCGTGTTCGGGTGTTCTCCGGCCTTGGGGGCCAGTCCCACCTTTGGGGAAGGCGCAACATTTGGCAATTTCAAATGATTTGGCGGCCTTGGAGCCAACAATAACGTCTTCGCACCACTAGACGTCGGAGCCCCAGGGAATCTGGCAGGCAGCAACATCTTCACCACCTTGGGTGGACAGAAATCTGGATTTTCCTTTGGCAATCTTGCCCAGAACGGCAAAGCCAGAAGCCAGAAGCATTTGTCGGATCAAACTTTATCCAATATCGCTAAATATATGTTTTGTTGGATATAATTAGTTGTTTTGTTCTTTAATATGCAAGTGCTAATATCAGCAGATTCGGTAATCAGATAGATATGGTTATGCGTGAGTTAGTGAGTATAGCATGAAAAATAAGTTGTTCTTGTTGAATTAGGAAATAATCAAAATAAAATAAGAAAACTCGAAATATGTGGTTTCCCCACCAGTCCTTGTATCTATTAGAGTGTCTGTCCTCCTTTTGCTTTTCCTGTTCCCTGTTTCATTTTGTTGCTCAATTAAGGCTGGGATGCGATGTGGTGTGCATATGATTTCCAAGCTTTCCAGGCTTTGCGTGTGGAACTCGTCAACGTGTTTAGCGCTGTTTTGTGGCCATTTTCATAAATCCGTGTAATTGTTTCTCTTTTCTGTTTCACTGTCGAGCTGTGGTGACTGTCGGGCGGTCCTCTGTACCCTCCCTCATTCACTCCTCTGCCACTGTTCACCATACGGCTATAACACAAGGCGGACCCCGTGTCAGGTCAGACCTATTTGCCGACATGGAGATGGAGTCGGCCAACGCAAACCCCATCTATGACATGCGGTTTAAACGTCACCCAATCCTGCCCCTTCAACCGATTGTCTGCTCAGCCCTTCCACTCCTATAGGTGCAACAACAATTATATTTAATTTTTAGGCACGTTTAGGCCAGGCATGAACGCTTTCGAGTCCATTCTTGGTGGCTTTTTGTCTGGCAACATACCTCTCACAGGCCACAGCATGCAACACGTCAAAAGTTAAACAACAAGCGTCGGCCGTTGACTGTCAGCGCGGTCTAAAAACATAAAAACTGTCGGCACATTGCTAAATTTCCAGGAAATTATTAGGAGCTCTCTAGCAGGAAAGGCGGGGAAGAGAAGCAGGGTGGACAACTGCCAGTAATTAAAATGAGTAAAATATAAGAGGAACAGCAACGAGCGCAAAACGGCTGACCAAAGAGTCTGGCTAGCGTAATGAGTTTATTAATTAATAAAAATCACCCTCTTGCCCGCCCTGAATTTTCCAATAATGGAATTCGGCGCCACGCACTTACTGCAGGTCAGTTACTTCTTCAGTGAAGAAGAGCAACGAAATAATCAGCTACAGAATAGAAGGAATAGAGTGAACACACTCAATGCCATTCATGAATATGCGGATGTGTGTGCAGGTCCATTGCGAAACACCTCCTCGAATTTACAGGAACGCATATCTTAGAAAAGATGCATCATGTACATATATCCAATATTTATAGTAACAACTTCATTGATGCGCCTTAGAGTTCTACAGCTCTTCAGCTAATCTTCCTTTTTTCCAGAAACATGATAACAATAGTTCTGCCTGGTTTTGCCAATACTGTGGAATTACTTTATCGTATAACCACCCATGAGTCTGAAAAGGTTTCTGCACAACGTTTATTATTTTTCCTGTATGCGAGTGGCTTTTATCATACATCATCGGCAAACAAATGGCTTCTCTATGAAGCGAAAGGCTGCTTACGATTTTTAAAATACAATTTTTCTGACTTACCAGGGAACCATAGTGACCCGCCAACACATGGAGAAAGGAAAAATATTCTTCCTTTAAATTAAATAGTATGGGAATTATTTCATCAGAATTCTATAGACCTTTCTCTCAGTGCACCTCTGCCCTTCTATTATTGGTGTGTGCTCCTCTTTGTTCTGCCCGTTTTTTTGTAGTCGCGACAATTTGCGACATGTGCGTATTTTGCTCTGGCCTTTTGTAGCAAGAAACTTGAGTGTCAAGGCAGTTAAGTGGCTGCAAATTGGTATCGTTTAAAGGGACAGACCACCCCCCCACATTTCCACTTGCAACGCTGCCCCTACAACGTTGTTAACTGCGTTGTTAGCTGCTGGTCAAAGCAATTAGTTGCATAGTCTCCTCCCACCCAAAGCGAACAAAACAAAGGCGAAAGGTCCAACCCCTCTATTCGTATGGATGCGCAAATTCATCTCTCTTTGAATTTATTAGCCCACATTAACCACTTTCACTGGCATAACTTTCCGCTTATGTGGTTTTTGTAATGTGGCCCCGAAACATGATTTTGTTATACCCGGCCCTCAAAACTTTTCACTTAAAAAAGGAAGAGCAGACACTCATACGGATTTCTTTTGCGGCTGGCCAGAGGGCAGGGGCGAGTGAATACTCGTGTATTCACCTCAGCCCGCTAATGAATCATTTTTGCCAACCCACTGACCGCAGACTAAAGCACCACCAGGCACCAAACGCCAAGCCCCACTTTCTAATGGTTCTGGCTCTCTGCGGTTCTATAAGCAACAAAGAAGGCGAAAAGTTGAGACTAGAACGACAACTGAACAATTTAATTAGCATAAGTTTGCGCCCTTATCTTTCAGAATGCTCTCCCTTTATATCTCTCTCTTTATCTCTCTCTCTCTCTTTCGTTCACTCTGATTCTCTTAGCTTTGGAAATTGAAATATCAAAGACCAGAAATGTTTTATGCATTTTTATTTTGTGCAAATAAGTTTATTTTATTAAAAGTTTCAAAAGTGAAAGAAACAGAACGAGAAATGTAAGTAGGCACAGAAAAAAAAAACCAACTCAAATTTCTATAGTCTCTGCTTAGACCAAAGGATACCGTCTTCTCAGATGTATTGCTAAGTTTTCGAATTCTAAATGGCCAAGATTTAAAAAGAAACCTGATCATGTGGACATTTATAATGTCTACTCTGACAATTTTATAGCTCTATCTTTGAAAATCCCTAAATTTGAGACTATACTAGGGTAAACTTGTGCGAAACACAAAATATTTGAAGGTACAGGGTACCTCCAAGTATCGGATATTAAAAATTCAGAATCCTGCCAACTTGCGCTCTTTTTGGTTCCCTCTCCGTCCATAGCTCCTGTCAAAGTCATTGAAATTCAGTGCATGCATAAAAAATTAACTTGAGAGAGAACAGAAATAGAATCAGGAACGGAAACAGAAACAGAACCAGAAACAGAGGCAGCAACAGAAGAAGCAACATTGGGGCAATTTAAAGTCGCGCCTTTTGAGCTGGCTAAAAAAGTTGCTCGAGTGCCCTCCAGCGATGGGAGGGCTGTGGGGCTTTGATGAGTTGCAATTAAAATTTGTGGCTTGGCCTTGCAACTGCCAGTGGGGCTGATTCTACCACCTTTGACATTTCCCCCCGATCAGAAGGGCAGAGCCACAGACGGGCCCGTGGTGAATTATTAACAGCCAAACTACAGATTCGTGGAAAAGTAAATAAGCTTTTGACACACGCTACCACTACCACTACCCCCGATTCCGACAGAACAGAGCTTAGTCAGTCAGTCGGTCGTGTACATTAAATTCAATTGAATATTTCATAAGCTGCTAGACAGACCAGACAGAAGAGAGAGCGGAGTGCATAGAGTAGCAACAATAACCATTGAGAAAAGAATGCAACAACATGAAGAGCGGCTGCCAAAACACAAACAGCTCCCACCACAACCAACCCAAGCTCGCGCAGTGTCTCTAAAGTAAAAGTAATAGCACACTTTTCGGGGCTGGCAGGACTATTGTCTGGCGTCTAGGCCCCATGATGGTGCCCCACCATGATGGTGGCACTCTGATAATGGACGCTGAACTTTGCTTTATTACATGCAAAAAAAAAGAGAAATGTTGGAAAGACACAAGTCGAAGGCAAACCACAACAAGCAGCAAGTGGCAAAAAAAGGCCGGGGGACAAGAAAGAAAGAAAAGAATCTCGGACCGAAGCTCTACATACTCTTGAAGATACAAAATATTAAAGATATATATAAAAGTAGAAAGTTTTTAAAATGTTACATAAAACAAGACATAAAACAGACTTGCAAATGCATACCGACTAAGAGCTTGTTAAAGCTGATCAAGAACACATATACTTTATAGGATCACAAATGATTACTTCTCTGTGTTGCACGAAAATCATAATAACCTCTGCTAAAAAGCAATACAAAAAGCTGAAACAAGAATTCTGAAAAATTGCAGGGCGTGACTGTAAACTTTACAAGTGGCCCTCAAACAAATTTTGACCGAAACTATGACCTGGTCGGAGCGAGCAGAGAGGGAACGAGAAAAAGAGAAGGGAAAGGAAAGGAAAGAAAAGAAAAGGAGAGCCAAACATGAAAAATGGGTGTGGCAGGGCCCAACCAAATTGCCGCCTTATTAGTCATCCATGAATTATGCACCTTCAATTGGGAGAAACAGAAGCACTACCACGAGGGCAAGGATGGGGTAGAGCTCGTATTATCTAATATGCCACAGGCGTCTAGTTAAATAATTGACGTTTCTCCGACCCTGCCACCAAAGTATAGATGAAGGAAAGTCCTTATAAGTTATTCATTAAGTTATTATGTGTTTAAACCTCACACAATAAAATGTGGAGGGCCTATCAAGAAGCTCGCTCGCTGCCTTTTATTGTTTATTGGCACTCAGAAATTCCTCCCACACTCTCTAACCTCTGGGCTGGCTCCTTTGCAACATCTTAAGTGCAGCATAGAGTTTCTTTTACCTTCTCTGGCTCCCTCCACCACAGGAACAAAGGAACACAGGAAATTGTTATGCTTAATGGCTTTTCTTTTTCCGACACTGTTTTCCAGGACCTGCAGTTAGAAAAACCTTCAATGTTAAACGCTGCTCCCTAAATAATTGATTAGTTTGTGGCTCGTAAGTGGTTAAGTCTTTCTGCACCCTTTTTTTGGCTTCTGGCTCTGATTAAATCTCTCATTCCCCCACTACATCTCTCTGAAATGAAAGTTAATTTAGCAACTGGTACAAGATTCTGGGTCTTACCATGGTCTTAGCCGCAGCTTATGTCTTGAGTGGGTTACTGCTTTAAGATCCGTATCTTAAGCCCCGAAGTTGAATTGAGTTTGACTAAAGTTTCATGCCATACTTCAATATCAGCTGAATAAAATCTAGATTCGTGGAACTACTGGGAGGACCTTTGAGTTCTGTTCTCTTCGAAATTTCGCACATACAAGTATTTGCAAAAAGGACCAACTGGGACCAGTTTCAGGCTTTCTGTAAATTCTTCTCTTTCGCTCTTCACGTTTTCTCTGGGTACACTTATTGCTTTTTTTAATCATAACATAATGGGCCAGCATTATAGTTAATGGATTGCAAGTGTTGCCAGGCGGCGTCTTTCGCACTCGCACTCGCTCTTTGGTTTTTTAGCTTGCAAAAAGGCAAAGAGCTTCCCCATCTGCATTTCTGGGCTTCCATTCCCTAGCCGCATCCTGGCCGTCGAGAGCTCCGCTCCCCATATGAGCAGCTGTGGAAGTCAGCTCCCAGAGCGCCATTGCTTAATGGCGCTAGTTGCCTTTTAAGTGTAATTGCCGTGTCCCAAGTGTTTGTAATGTGAACGAATTTCTGCGATTTTTACCCGGGCACACAGAGGGAGGACCAGCAGAACTCTCCTGGTGCACTCACCGAAGCCTGTCTGCAGCTTTTAAAATTATTACTATATTTGTAAATATGCCGCTATACGATGGACCAACCTTATACCAACCCCAGAGTTAAACCTTTAAGCGAGGCCCCGAAAAGAGTGCTCTTTAGTTTTGTACTCACTCGCAATGTGCTCGTTGTGGAAGGCCAACATGTTTACTGTGTGTTTTCGGCTTTTCCGGTGTCCAAATATTTGTATTTATTGTACGCGGCTCTCTCTATGCGGCTTAGCCCGTTGTAGTATGAAAATTGTCCACCTATTTCGATCTTGTTTACGAATGCTGCCGTGAATTTCACACTTTGTTTTCGTGAATCAATCGAGTAAAATGGTATACTCGTCTAGTCGCTATCAATGCCTGGAAAAAGAGTGTACAAATTTCGATATTATTTACAGTTTATAGGATGAAAGGAATTATGGCTTAAGGAATATATTTTTTTTTTATTGTCATCGATTATTTTTTTTTTAATGGGCTACAAAAACAATACTTTATATTCCAACACTGCAATCTCATTGGCATTAAAGGATAATCACACAAAACTACATTGTGAAATGCAATAGAAATAAATAACTTAAGTTTCTCAAATTTGGACTCGAGTGCGACGCAGCTGCAGCTGGGACTCCACTTCCCGAGAGGCCTTGCTGTTTTGGGCCGTCTCGGAATTGGACTCGTTGGCTAGACTCTCCAGATTTGTGGCAAATTCCGCCACGCTCTTCTTCTGGCAAGGCCACGTCAAGGCAAAGGGAAATCTTTTGCTCTTTTGCAACGTCCAACATGGTAATTATAATAAAAATTATTTGGCGTGCAGAAAACTATAAAACTAATCTATCGATAAAAGAGCTGGAGAAAAAATGGCAATTGTATTACCCTTATTTCTCATTATTAAAGACTTCTGCCCAACAATTAAGTTCTACTGCTGACGCCTTCTTCTAGACCCCTTTTTTCTACTTTTAGTTGCGTTCTTCTAGACCCGCGTTCATACTTTATGGCTCAACGAATGGTTTAGGGCTCCAGGCTCCACTTCAGGATATTTTGCTCCTCTTCCTGCGGGTTTCACAAAATATTAAGACCATAACCATTAGTTTTAGGAAATAACTTTTAAGTGGCGCTGAATCCCAGTAAACAACGAAATACAGACACATGAAAATTGCATTGTGGACCCTTGGTATCCAGGCGGGAGCTACTACACTGATCCCCCCTGTGACTCTAGGCGGCACCGGCGGCGGCGTCGGCGGCCGCGGCTCAACGAAGCGCACACACACCCAAACGGAAGCACATGCTGCGGAAGTGAATTTTTTTCGCTTCCGTTTCTAGCACCGTAAGAAACAGTAGATGAGTGGTGGGGAGTCGAATAGCCAAGAAGAATGGCTAGGAGGTACCACTGCCACTCGGTAGTAGTAGAGTGCATGTTACCCATGCATAGTTAGGGACAGGCCCGGACAGGCGTTCAAACAATCAAAACTTAATGTCAAAAATACAATATGAACGAGAGGCGACAGGCACCAAAAGCAGCCAAAGCGAATGGAAAAACACTCGTTCACTCAGTCATTCAATCGTGCATTTAGTCAGGCATTCAACGAGTTTTGTTAGTCAGCTAGCTAAAGTTAGTTAACTGCCATGTCAAATAAGTAATGAAAAAACCAACTTCGATTCGATGTGGAGAGAAATCAATATTAAAAAAAAAACACCCTTAAGCCTAAAATGTACTTTAGAATGAAGAATTCCTTTTAGCAAAGTATCAAATCGAATGATAAAATGATTAAAAAATCAATTATTTGAAGGGATTTTACCAGGATAATGCTACCAAGATGATACCAATATTTTTAGAATATTATTCGGAATACGGATTTTATTTAGTGAATAATTAAGAAAGCATTCAACGGAAGTACCTCATGTTTACTCATGGTTATCAGTGATCAGAATACGTATCTCATTGAATATTCAACCATTTTCAATCTCATCAATGCCTCCGTTAACCGTATGTTTCCTCTATACAGAAGTCCCACCAAAAATTCCGGGTCGAAATAACACAAACTTACTCAGTGGGCTTTCAAGGGGTAATGCAAGGTGAGTGCCAGTTGGACTTCATGTTCGAGTATGTCTGGCTGCGCGACTGTGTAGCACTTCCACTTCCGCGACGGAAACTAATGAACGTAGCATGCAGGAGACAGGGCTGGGGCGAAATATACTTGGAACCATACGAAAATGTTTCGGAAAATCTTAAATGAATAATGGAAGATAAGAAACTTTCCTTTATCTGAATGCACTGGTATTAATATGACTTTAATTTAAATAGCTTTGCTTCCCAGAAGCTACCATAACTGAGAAATATGCCAAGAATTTCTGGCTTGGAAGAAATTTGTGAAACCGCGAAAGTGCAAAGAGGGCCACAGGCAAAGTCATCAAGCCATGGCCCACAGCAACAGTCCCGGCACAAGGAGACGTTCTTCCGACCATTTCCCTACTACAAGGATATTTTTTGGGCAAGACTTGGCTTACAAATTAAAGTCGAAAATTACATTTGTAACGCTTTCGCTTTTTAATTAGAAGCTCGGGGACTGACGCCTATTCTGATTGCTTTGCGAGTATGCTTGAATGCAGTTTGTAGTTATCTGTCAAGGCCTGACCTCAATTGAATGCCAGCTTGTTTTCTCAAAAATACTTATACTTATACTGTATTTTAGTATATATATACGTACGTGTGAGCAGACCAGTACCAGTGCCACCCATCTATACTACCACCCTCGAACAACTTTCTTTACTTCGCGAATTTCGGCTTAATTAGCAAATTGACAGCATGACGTTGAGTGGGAAGCATTTAGGGGCTGCTTTACCCCCACCGACGAAGAACTGGCCACAAACTATGGGTGGAAAGTACTATAGCACTATGCCCTCACTTCTTTATCCACCTTATTGAGGACATCGAAAATTTAATGAGCCCTAAACGCATTCCATGTGAATATCGATTTTATTTTAAATTTCTTTTCTTGCTAATTCTTGCTTCTGCATGTTATTGTTTCCCCTCTAACGTTAGTCCTCCTACGTTACCCTCCATTGATACAGACAACACACAACACACGTGTGGCAATGTGGAGCTGCTCCTTTTTGTTCCACAAAGCCAAAAGCATACAATTTTCGAGCTACCTTTTCCAACTCTCTCTCTCTCTCATGTGGGTGTTGTCTGCAACTTTTCTGACCATTCAACCAAAACAGTCCGGGACATTGTAACAAAAACAAAGGGCGAGCCACTATGAGGACTATAGCGAGGAGAAAGATGATGATGATGTTGACGACGGACTGCCTGCCTCGCTGAATTTCCTGCCACTGCCTGGTATTTTACCAGAGCTCTACTTAGGGCTGAAAAAAGCTATATCAGTATTTCGGATCATATGGAATACGCTCCGTAATTGTACGTAAGCTTGGAAGAAGGTATCCATCAGTAGAGCTGCAGCATGTTTACACTTCACGTATTGTGCTTTTCATTGGGTTTTCTCTTCCAGCCCAATGTATTCCCTGTTTTGGGTCTCAGATTCTCAAAGATTCTCAGAATCTCTAATATCCACGACAATTACAATATTTGAATTTTGAGTAAGTATCCTGTTAAAGGCTTTACTCCATCCGATTTTTAGGATTTCCATTATGTTTTTATTGCTGTTAGCCTGGTTCTCCCACCGACTACTCATTTCCGATTATTAGTCGGGGGTTAAGGTCAGAAACAATGCATTGTTTGGGCCTTGTCTAGCCTTTATATCCTCCGCCTCCCTCTCTGTCTGGGAAAACATAATGGAATTTTCATGTAATCAATTTGCATGCTTTCAGCTTCTCTTCATTTACATGGCCGGAAATCTCTGCGCGCGATATTGTACTTCATCAATTAACACATTAACCAATCTGTGGCTCTTTTAATCCTCCTTGCTTGTAGCTTCTGTGACCATTTGGCTTAGATTTCTCATTCCTTTTATGTTGGTTATTTATAAAATGAATGTTTTTCCTTTGCTTCCAGCTATTTGTTAAGCTTATGTGCCCAAGAAAGGTAAAGGGAAAATAAATCGCTGGATCGCAGTGTGTATGTTTAATGTGTGTATCTGTATAATAAATATAATGAAATAAATTTAATTACATAACCAGTGGCAGAGTACTGAAAGAGAGGCGAACAGCGGTGGAGACAGAGACCCCATCCAGAACCTAAGGCCTTCATCGCTCTGCTTTTACTCAACTTTGGCGCCATGTCTGTGTATGGGTAAGGACACACACAGATACTCTTACTCATACATGGATATGTATCTGTTGAGTTGTTGTAGGAATGTGAATGTTTATATGAATGCACCTACTTAGCCTTTAGTTTCAAGTGCACGGCCTCTCCGGAAACCGCTGCATACCCTGCTGCCGACTCCATCCTCCATCCTCCATCCTGCTCAACCTGAGGCATTCACACATACACAGGTTCATTGAGGTGAATATCTGTGAGGGTGTGTGCTTGCGTGTGTTTGTGCATAAGTTCATTTAGTTTTGGCCGCTGCACATGTGAGTGCTCTCGAGTACGCCTACCCATCTTCCACCTCCTCTGACCTGGTCCCCTGTTCCTGGGGCCGTGTCCGTGTCCATGTCTGACAACGTCCACAGAACTCAACTACCTCTCTCTCTCTCTCTCTCTCTCTCTCTCTCTCTCTCTCTCTCTCTCTCTCTCTCTCTGTGTGACTGACTTGTCGTCGAGTAATTATGAAAATTTTCAAAATGAGCTCGCGCGCCCTCTTCTTTAGCACCAGTGTTAGCTTCAGCTTCAGTTTTTGAAAGTTGAGAGAACGAGTAATTAAAAATTTCGTAGTGGAAGAACCCCAGTCCGACTGTTGGGTCGTAGTCCTGGTTCTAGTCCTATGCTTATTTAGCTGTTGTTTTCCCGGCATTATGCATATAAATTTTAATTAAATTCGTTTTCCCATTCACCTGTCTCCTCTGGTGAGAGTAGTCCTACATAGGCCAGCGATTCTAATTAGAAGACGGAAAGGAAGGGCATTTAGCAAAAGCCAGTTGCAATTAGTTTTCGCTAATGTGGCTAAGGTGTCGCTTAGGCGGCTCGCTGAGGTTGAGGGGCTTGTGAAGTTTGTTACTTACTTGTAAATTAATGCCATATATACTTAGCTCGCAAATAACTGTCAACACTTTTTTCCTTTGCTGTCTGCTCAGTGACAAACTCAGTGAGAATTCAAGTGGTATCTAATTCTCGGCCTTGGCATCAACTAAATAAAAGAAAGACGAGCAGTTCCTCGCATGCAGCACAATATCCAAATGGAGTTGAATTGCTTGTTTCGTTCCGAGCAGCTTGTCACAAGTCTCCGGAGTATCTTATCTTTACACCG